AAATAGTCCACTATTTATTGTATCTCTCTCTCTCTCTCTCTCTCTCTCTCTCTCTCTCTATGTATGTATAAAATTATGTTATAAAGTTTCATCAGGAAATGTCTCTTGATTCTTATTTACATAATATGAATATAGCATGAAATCATAAAAGCCCCAAATATTTTTAAACCTCCCAAAGATTACCCTAATATTTAAATGTTGTTTAAAATAAAAATCTATTAAGAACTTTCAAACACATTCATTTTTCTTCCACAAGGAAGTCACTATATAAGCCACACTTATTTAAACTCTTCTATATTAGAAGAATTCCTATACATTTGACAATAAAGTATCCAATCCAATATTCTGCACTGCTAATGCTGCCTTCTTTGCTGAAAGAAGAAAAACAGGATCAAACACCTTATTTGCAGGGTGCCAGCAATAAATTATATTAATATTACTTGCGTCAAAGATGTGTTTGCACTGATTGATGAGCTTGCCTTGATTTATAAATAATTGCTTTAGTAATTTTATAATTTGCAATTTAATATATCAAGCCTTTGTTGTATAAAACATGCAATAGACTTTAGAATGTCAGTGATTTATAAGCCCATCATTGATTTATGCATCATGCAACCGCTTCATAAGTTACTCTGTGTCACTGGTTTACAAGTACTGCACCACTGATTGATTAGTCATCTGTCTTATGTTGGTTTTTTTAGTTTGGGCCCTTTCTTTATAAGGTTTATGTTACAGATTTCAAACTAGTTATAATTAACTTTTGTTTCTATATTTTACATGTGACCAATTTAGGAAAGTAATTTTAATTACTAATGATAAATTTTGCCCTAAATATTACTTGTGTCAAGCAGTTGAGGTCCCTGGGGAAAACTGAGCAGTGTTATAGAACTCAAGTTAGCAGATAGCTTAAGAATATGATGAACTTTACATACCAGCTGCTGGTAGATGAAAGATAAGATTTTGCTCCAGGAGGTACAGTCCAAGGGGAGATGGAGCAAAGGTGGGTTTACCCCAACTTTGTGCTCTCGGGACTTTGGGCTGCTCTGGTGTTGAAATGGCCCCATTGAATTAGAGCAGCCTAATTTGTAGCAGCCTCTCCAGGCCTGCCTATGGGCTTCTCCACATTTTTCAACAACTACTATTGCTCAAGATCTAGTTTATATAGATGGAACAAATGACCACTTTGCTACTCATGAGTTTAGAGTCTGATCCCCTTACTCTTGTTGAGCAGCAACTTGCTCTGCAATTAATCCTACTGATTTCAATTAATTGATTTAATTGGTATTAACTGAAGAGTATACTACAGCTAAATGCAAATTACGGAGTCAGAAATCCACCGTAAAGTAATTATATTTTCCTATGAAGATGGCAAAATAGTACCCTACTTTAGGGTCTAAACCTGCCTTGTGTTCTGGCATTTTTATTTATTTATTTATTTATTTATATTAGAGCTGGAAAAAAAAATTCTGGCAAAAGTAAGCTCTTTCTTTGTAGGTTCAGTAAACATTTCATATATCTGACCAGCAGAAACTAGGATGGCAATGTCACTTATCTGATATCTTTAGCCTCTAGGGGGTTGTGCATGTGTGTAGTGTACGGTTCATGAGCAAAGTCTTAGGCTACGTCTACACTACAGGGGGGATCGATTTCAGATATGCAAATTCAGCTACGGGAATAGCGTAGCTGAATTCGACGTATCTGATCCAACTTACCCCTCTGTGATGACGGTGGCAAATCGACCGCCGCGGCTCCCCCGTCGACGGCGCTTACTCCTACCTGGGCTGGTGGAGTACGCGCGTCGATTCAGGGATCGATTATCGCGTCCCAACGAGACGCGATAAATCGATCCCCGAGAGATCGATTTCTACGCGGCGATCCGGGCGGGTAGTGAAGACAAGCCCTTAGTTATCATATTCAAATAGCATATGAGTCCCAGGGCTAGACAGCTGGACCCCTTGGATATAGGTTGGGTGCTGTAAAGGAGCTGTAACATATGCAGCTCTGGAAATGTGGCTAGATTACAGTCCCTTTGCATCACTCAAATTGAGAATCTGGCTCATGATGTTAGACATAACAGTTCAAGAAATAAATGCTAGGGGAAAACTTCATTATCAATGTTTGGATTAGACACAGTCCTGAAATTCTTTTGGTGCCCCGATGCTACCTCTAGCACAGTGGCTCTCAACCTTTCCAGATTACTGTACCCCTTTCAGGAATCTGATTTGGCTTGTGTACCCCCAAGTTTCACCTCACTTGAAAACTACTTGCTTGCAAAATCAAACATAAAAATACAAAAGTGTCACAGCACACTATTACTGAATAATTGCTTACTTTCTCATTTTTACCATATACTTATAAAATAAATCAATTGGAAAATAAATTTTGTACTTACATTTCAGTGTATACTATATAGAGAGTATAAACAAGTCATTGTATGTATGCAATTTTAGTTTGTACTGACTTTGCTAGTGCTTTTTATGTAGCCTGTTGTAAAACTAGGCAAATAACTAGATGAGTTGAGGTACCTACCCCCTGGAAGACCTCTGCGTAATCCCCGGGGCTACACATCCTCCTGATTTAGAACCTCTGCTCTAGCAAAAACCCAGGGAGGAAAAACATTCTGATGCTTAAAATTTACCTCACTACAAATATTGTAAAGAAAGAAAAGAAAGGAAAAAACCCTGCTAAACACATATGAGCTTTTTGTTATAGTAATTTATCTGATTCTTCTATACCATGGCTCCTTGATATACTAAATCTCATTATAATCACACTGTTCTTTTCATAACATTCACAATTTTGTTCAGGTCCTAAGGATGCTGTTAATATTCTCTTAGAGACAAATATGATAAAGAGTGTTGTTATTATTAGCTGTTTGATTTCTGTGGCAAGCCCATTACAATATATACAAAACCCAATCTGAAGTAGAACTAGTGAGACATACAAATGCAAAACCAAGAGTTTTAAATTTTCATGTTTACCAACAGACT